GAACAGAGACAAACATGAATACTCTTAATTTTTCTCTTACTCTTTCACAGTCTTCTCTTGGCTATCAAAAACCATGCCTTAAGGCCAGGCGCGGTGGCTCACGCCTGTAATCCTAGCACTCTGGAAGGCCTAGGCGGACCGGACGGATTGCTCAAGGTCAGGAGTTCTGAATCAGCCTGAACAAGAGCGAGATCCTGTCTCTACTATAAATAAAAAGAAATTAATGCCAACTAAGATATAGAAAAAATAGCCGGCGATGGTGGCACAGCTGAGTCCCAGCTACCTTGGAGCTGAGGCAGTAGGATCGCTGAGCCCAGAGTTTGAGGTGCTGTGAGCTAGGCTGATGCCACGGCACTCACTCTAGCTTGGGTAACAAAGTGAGACTCTGTCTCAAAAAAAAAAAAAACATGCCTTTGTTTATGAAAAAAATTAAAAAATACCACTTGGTTGAGTTTATAAAATTAAATATGAAAAACCATGCCTTTATTTATATTCATTGGGAAAACTTCAAAATTGTTATCTGTTCATTTTCACACATGTGGCTTTTTCTGTGATGGTCATGGATCTAACCTTGCATAAGAGATTGGTGGTAGTTGGTCACCCCATTTGCCTTTCAGCTCTTAGAGAGCTGACATTAATGAGTGATCTATTGTGTTCAAAACCAATTGTTGGATTCATATTAACTATCTATTAAAAAGGATATCACAGGCCTGGCGCAGTGGCTCACATCTGTAATCCTAGCATTCTGGGAGGCCAAGGTGGGCAGATGGCTCTAGGTCAGGAGTTCGAAACCTGCATAAGCAAGAGCAAGACCCCAGTCTTTACTAAAAATAGAAAGAAATTATTTGGCCAACTAAAAATATATAGAAAAAATTAGCCAGGCATGGTGGCACATGCCTGTAGTCTCAGCTACTTGAGAGGCTGAGGCAGAAGGATTGCTTGAGCCAGGATTTGAGGTCCTGTGAGCTAGGCTGACCGCATGCAGCTAGCCCAGGCAACAGAGTGAGACTCTGTCTAAAAAAAAAGATATCACAGAATATTTAATGACTTGGAAAAAATGTTTACAATGTATTGTAAAGTGGGGAAGTTATAAAATAAATAAGCTATGATGTTTGATACAATTTTTAAAAAAAATTTTCTTGGAAGGGTCAGTAGTTATCTCTGGGTGGTAGGGTTGTTAAGTGATTTTTATTTTCTTTGCTTTCCCACATTTCTGATTTTTCTACAATAAACATATATTGCTTTTGTAATAGGAATAAATAAAATGCTGTTTTTCTATTTAGAGATCTGATGGTGGTAAATAGCTTCTGAGTCAAAGCTTGTTTGAGCAAGCCCAAATGTCAAACCACTGGGAAGTTCCTTATGTGGAACCACTGTGGGTTTGTTGGTGCTTGGACTAACTTAACTAAGCCAAACTGTGGGGCGTGCACTGGAAGGCAGGAAACCAGCAAATGAAATTCAGCCTGGAGATGCTGAAAGACATGTATTTTCAGAACCCTTCATAATTGATTGAGAATGATTTAATATAGAAATGCAGATACAAAATACCTGAGGAACAGCTCCAAGAATTTAATATTAAAGGAAATCTGGGAGACCTAGCAGCAAAAATAGTGCCAGAGGTACAGAAATACACAAATTCTCTTAATAGCCAAACTACACACCCTGATGTTTTATTCTTGAAGTATTAAAGACTTTAAAGTGTTTTAATGGATAAGGCTCGCTATTTGAGTTGCTAGCCATATGGACTTACTAGCCATTTAAATCCATTTATTTATATTACTTATATTTTGTTCTTAACTAAATTTGCTTCATTAAAAAAAAAGGGTCATTTGTTAATTCAAGAAACACTTACTGACCGCCTATCTCATACTAAGTAATATGCTCGATGTGGTCTCTGCAGTTGAGACCCTCACAGGTCTAGTGGGAGAGAAAGCCAAAAAACACAGTTGTGACTCAGTATGATAAATTATATGATGGAAGATATAATGGCTTCCATGGTGGGAGCATCTAACTCAGATTGGGGTGGGAGGTAGGCCTAAGGAGGTTTTCTGGAGAAGGTGATATTTAATCTGGGCTTTGAAGAATTAAGCAGTTGAAAAAGCAGGAAAAGAGTATTCCATAAAGAGGGAACAGTGCATGTAAAAACCCAGAGACATGAAAGAGGATGATATGTTCAAAGCATTCCCAGTAGTTTAGAATAGCCAGAACCTTTTTGCATGTGGGAGACATGCAGGGGATGAGGTTGTGATGGTTACTTTTATGTGTCAGCTTGGCTGGTCAAGCATTATTCTGGAAGTTTCTGTGAGAGTATTTTCAGATGAGGTTTACATTTCAAAGAGTGGATTTTAAGTAAAGGAGATTGCCCTCCATACTGTGGGTGGCCATCATCCAGTCAGTTAAAGGCCTGAACAGAACAAAAGACTGATTTCCCCCAAGCAAGAGGGAATTTTGCAACATACAGTCTTTGGACCTGAACTCTTCACTGGCTCTTCTCTGGGTCTCAAGCCTGTTACCCATTCTGCAAATTTTGGACTTGCCAGCCTCCATGATTGTCTGAGCCAACTCCTTAGGATAAATCAATTTCTCTCCCTGCCCCAACTCTCTCCTCACATATGTCCTATTGATTCTGTTTCTCTGGAAAACCCTAATACAGAGGTGAAAGGCAGAGGATAAGGGGGAGTTCTGAACATTTCTGTGGTTTGGATTATCAAGAGAAACTATATGTTTCTAGTTACCTAGAGATCCTTGGTGGGCTTTTTGTGCCTACGTCTAAAGATTATTGTGATGCTACTGGTCTGGAGTGTGAGGAAAAGTGGTGGTTGATGGCCCATGGTTTATTCAGAGCTGTTGGTTCTTTTAAAAGTCAGAGCTCAAATGGTCGGCCTGCCACTATAGAGTTAAAATGTTAAGTCTCAAGTTCTCTGCTTGAGATAAACTCATTGTTTATAGTATACAAAATGATCTGTGTTTGTATGATTTTTGATAAATGAGGTCCTCCCACCCCACTGGAGCCCCCATAGCCGGCCAGGGTAAGGTGCCGGGTGGGGCCACAGCCTGGGCTGGCCCAGCAGGAGGGAGAACTGCCTGCTGTCACCGCCCTGTCTGGGCTAGAATGCAGGCTAATAGACAGCAATCTCCTTTTTTTTCCCCCTTCTGTTGAATTTGCCCATGGTGGGTTCCTATATATCTAAGTATTTGATTCAAGTCTCATATAATTAACTTTTTCTGCAGCTCCACTTTTATATCTTCATGAAACTGTTCCTTTTCATGATTTAATGATAAACTTAGTTCATTCTGATTATTTGCCACTTACATTCAACATGAATATTATCACATTGTTTAAGAGGGGCAAATATTTAATTCCTCATGATAAATTCCTTACTTTCTAAGTGTATCTGATACAATAAAGGGCATGTCTTTTACCTTCAACACTGTTATTTCTCACTTATTATCATTATTCTTGTCTCTCAAACCCTACTTTATTAGTTTATTTAAGAACTAATTTTCTAGTTCCAGAGATAGGAGCTTAGTAGCAGATTCTTTTTCCTCTAAAGTAATGGACCTTTACACAAAGATACAGATTCAAGAAGTATTAATAGGCCAGACACAGTGGCTTTTGCCTATAATCCTTGCACTTTGGGAGGCCGAGATGGGAGGATCATTTGAGGCTAGGAGTTGGCAAGAGCAAGACCTCGTCTCCACAAAAAAACAGAAAAATTAACTGGGTGTGGTGGTACACCTATAGTCCCAGCTGCTTGGGAGGCTGAGGCAGGAGGATCACTGGAGCCCAGGAGTTTGAGGTTGTAGTGAGCTATGATGATGCCACTGCACTCTAGCCTGGGTGATAGAGCAAGACCCTGTCTCCAAAAAAAAAAAAAAGTATTAACAGGAGCCAGGCATGGTGGCTCATGCCTGTAATCCCAGCAATTTGGGAGGCTGAGGCCTGAGGTTGGAGAATTGCTTGATACCAGGAGTATGAGACTAGCCTGGGCAACACAGCAAGACTCCATTTCTAAAAAAGAAAAAAAAAAGGATCATACAATTAAAAAAAAGTATTAGTAAAGTATACTGCTTCCAGTCCTCATCAGTTACCATGGAGAAGAAAGAATCCCTATTCAAAGAGGAGTGTTAAGTCTATGCCTTATCATCATTCTAGACAGGATTTAGCATGATCATAAACATTATGCTGACAGCAAGGGCTCAGAACATGGTGCCCATTTCATTAGGTTGGAGGGAGGAATGGTTTCTCCTAGTAGGTCTGAATGTTAGACTTCTAACATTTAACAGCATATATCCTATGCATGTCTTGAAGTCTTATGATATCCTGGAAAGACGGTTGTCGAGTCTTCTCTTTTAGGTACTAGTTAGGTGTAGTCTTGACTCTTAGAATGGTCTATTTCATTCAGGGAGCAAAGCTGTCTAAGCAAACTGAAGGTAACAAAGTATCCCAGGGCTGGGCTGCTCAGCTATAAGGTGGTAACCTGTCAGTTCTTTACAAATATTTAGTGAAAGGCCAATCTCATTCACGAGTGTCAAATATCACATTAGTGCCTACATTTAAGCCATTATATTATAATCAAGTTGCACTAGCCAGCTTTTTATCTATGGCTTTCTATTGCTTTAGGGGCAATCTGGTAACTACTAGATTTATTACCAATTTATTATTGAAGTTACCATACTTATTATCAAGCGGCATTTGCCCAGGCACTATATGAGCATTGTCCTAAGGATTCCTACCAAGACAATGGTATGTGACTGTTAATTTTCTCAACTTTAGGAGTAAGGTGGTTTTGGGCCTCATTTTCTGGGATGTGCTTAGGAAACAGTGCCGTTTTTAGACTAAAATACTGGTTTCAGGCTTGCCATACTTAATTGTGTCCATTGTTCAAGCAGACACCAAACTGCATTCTTCTCGTCCATTTGTGTCCAGTACTTCAGGTTAATACATTTGTAGCTAGGCAGGTTGACTCTCTGGTCCTATTTTATTTTATTTATATTACCTCTATTCAGCTGAGTTGCTTTACACATCTGAAGTGGACATCTGTGCCTTGGAGGGCACTTCCCATTGTGAACTCTTGTCAGAGGAACTGGAGCCATGAGATTGGTTCAGACTGCTTGTCCCTACAAGGAAGGAGAAGAAAAAGTTGAGTTGGCACATTGATCAAAACAACTTTGAGCAGATGGTAGAAAGTTATGATCACTGAACTACACGGTGGTCTTGCATGGGAGAGGTATCCAAACACTCAAAGTATGAAATAATTAAAAAGACACACTGTGAAGATAGTTGAGTCAGAAGATCCCAACAATTATTATCCAAAACTTGGTCTCTTAAAGTAGATATATTTACTACTCTAGTTGTTGGCAGAGCCAGAACTGAAAACCAACATTTCTAACTCGTAAATTTCTTATCTCTTAAAATAAAATTTCCTAGTTCCTGGGACTAAGTGAATAGTGTTGGTACCTGCCCAAGAGAGCTTCCCAGCAGGCAAAAATCCGTGGACTATAAGCCCCAGGGTACAAGGCTCTCCTACATCAGGGATCTGTGCACTGGGGAGGTCCTACAGAATTCACCTGAGATAACATATTTTTGGATACTTTTAATCTAGAGGATATGAGTGTCCTATCAGAGGTAAAAGAAACAAACATAACAAGCAAAGAAAGAATTCCAACATGTATCAGAGTTAGGAGTCAATATGAGACATAGAACCAGTAGGAGATTTATTACAAGGAATTGGCTTATGTTCTTTTGGGGGACTGGATTAGCAAGGCTAAAGTATACAGTCAGGCAGGCAGGGAGGGAAGATTAAAAGCAGGTTGGAACCCCATGAGCACAGGCTGAAGCTCATTGTCCGCAAGCAGTAAGGAAATGAAGATTACAAGCAGGCTGGAGACCCAAGGGCATGAACTGTTTGGAATCTCTGAACTTAAAAAAGGCCTAAACCCCACTTTGAAGGGCTCACCCAATTAAGTTAGGCCCACTCAGAATAGTCTTTCTTTTAATTAACTTAAAGTCAACTAATTAGGGTTTTTTGTCACATCTGCAAAATCCCTTTACAGCAACATTTAGATAAGTATTTGATTAACTGGGAAGTGGTGTTCAGGTTTACACAGCAAATAGTCAACACACAACAGCAGCCAATATGTGAGACATGAGTCCCTTTTCTTTTCCTTCCTTCCTGTGCCAATGCACTGGAAGAGCTAGAGCCCGGATGAGGGAGATGCAGGTGTCTGAGAGGCAGACCATATCCCCTTCCATAGTCTCCAAAGGGAGAGAATGGGAGGAGGAGTGAAATAGCACACTGCAAGTAGGACATCCAGGCTAGGAAACTGAAGGGTTTGGAGGCACGGGTGGTATTTTTTCATAACTTCTTCCCGCCGAAGGTGGTGCCTTTTAGAAGAGAAGGGAGTAAATAGGAATAGAACATTTGGCTACCCAGATGGTGTCAAAGAACAAAATGGGATTTGATTTTTGGGCCATAGTTTAAGATACTAGAACTGATGAGATTTTGGCAAGGAACCAGGGAGTCATGAGGACAAAAAAAAAAAAAAAAAAGATTTTCTTTCTTTTCTGTTTTTTTAGTGGAAAGGAGAGGAATCTCTGGGAAGGAAATCGGAAATTGTTCAAAGGAAGGAAACAAAGAAAGAAAACTAAGTGAACAAATAAAGGTCTAAAAGAAAGAATAACATTGTAGAAGGTACCCAGTGTTCATCAGATAATTATAGGTGAAAGAAAGCCAAATTTATTGCTAACATTTATTGAGAGTTTACTATATGCCAGTACTATGTTGAATTATTATTATTATTTTTTTTTTGAGACAGGGTCTCACTCTGTTGCCCTGGTTAGAGTGCCCTGGCATCAGCCTAGCTCCAGCAACCTCAAACTCCTGGGCTCAAGGGATCCTCCTGCCTCAGTCTCCAGGCATGCGCCACCATGCCTGGCTAATTTTTTTCTATGTATATTTTTAGTTGGCCAATTAATTTCTTTCTATTTTGAGTAGAGACGGGGTCTTGCTCTTGGTTAGGCTGGTCTCGAACTCTTGAGCTCAAACAATCCACCTTCCTCGGCCTCCCAGAGTGCTAGGATTACAGGTGTGAGCCACTGCACCTGGCCTTCAAATTCTTTATATACATTATTTTATTTAATTCTTGCAACAAGTTCATCTTTTTCCCCCCTTGATAATATGTAGTGGACATCTTTAGATGTCAATAAATATCTACATTATCATTAAAAGATGCAGAACATAGTATTCCATTGTGCATACACTTTTTTCCCACAGTTTTTGTATGCTTTCTCTTTTTCTTAAGTAACAGATGAACATTTTATATTAGTTCAAAAATTTTTGAACAATATCACAATTCAAAAATAAAAATGTAAAAAAATATATAGCAAAAAGTTTTTTCCCATTCTTATTCCCTGTCTCACTACATCACTATTAATTTCCTTTGTATATTTCAATAATTTCTTTGTTATATAAGCAAATATAAATATGTATTTTTATTTTTTCTTTTTAAAAATACAGAACATAAAAAGCATCTTGTGATTATTTCTTTAGCATAAAATCTTAGAAGTGGTATTGCTGAATAGAGGGTAGTTTTCAGTTAAAATCTTAATATATATTGCCCAATTGCTCATCAGAAAGGTTGTACAATTTACATTCCCACCAATAATGCATGAGTGTTACTAAATTCATTTTACTTATTTTCTAGTTTCAGTATATCTTTGTTTCAAAATGTAGGTGGGGCCCAGAATAAATGCTAATAAATTACTATAATTTATAATATAAGGTAGATTCTGATATTATACAAAATTGATTGTACAAAAGACTTTGGACTTATTCATTTATAATTTATAATATAGACAAATTGACATAATGAGAAGGAAAGATTTGATGTAAGTTGTTTACTTTTTTGCATTTTTCTTGTTGGATGGGTGGAGAGACAAATAGGAATGAAATGATAGAAAAATATTAGTTTGTCATATAAAGATGGGAAATAGAGCCAAATGAGAAAGAAAAGGCAGAATGAGTATTAGGGATAGACCTAAGATAGGAGTACAAAAAGGGTAAACAATTCCAGTGAGTTCCATATATCTGATGAGACATACTGCCAGATCATCATCTTTTCCTATTACACCTCCCTTCCTTCCCTCCCTTCCCTCCCTTCCCTCCTTCCCTCCTTCCCTCCCTCTCCCTCCCTCCCTCCCTCCCTCCCTCCCTCCTCCCTCCCTTCCTTCCTTCCTTCCTTCCTTTCCTTCTCCTTCCTTCCTCCTTCCTTCCTTCTTCCTTCTCCTCCTCTTCCTTCTTCCTTTCTCTTCTTTCTTTCTTTTTCTCTCTTTCTTTATTTTTTTTCCTTTGGATATGGAGGCCTCACTACTTTGCCCAGGCTGGGCTCAAACTCATAGTCTTCTTGTATCAGCCTCCCAAGTAGGTGGGACTAGGCATGTACAACTGGCTTACAATTTTTTCTAGAGTTCTGTTAGGCCTCTACTTCTATCATTGAATTGGTGCATATGATTATAATAGAAATTAAATTTTCAATGAAATAAATATGTACATTTGTCTTTTTTTTTAATAGAATTGCTTATCTGAAGAAATGGATACTTCTCCTTCCAAAAAATATCCAGTTAAAAAACGGGTGAAAATACATCCCAACACAGTGATGGTGAAATATACTTCTCATTATCCCCAGCCTGGGGATGATGGATATGAAGAAATCAATGAAGATTATGGAAATTTTATAGAAGAAAATCCAAAGAAAGGTCTGCTGAGCGAAATGAAAAGAAAAGGAAGAACTTTCTTTGGAGCTGTGGATACCAGACCGCCACCAACAGAAGACCCAATGACCAATGAGATTAGACAATTCCAGAGCTTTGCAGAAAAAAATATTTTTCAGTCCCGAAAAATGTGGATAGTGTTGTTTGGATCTGCTTTGGCTCATGGATGTGTAGCTCTTATTACTAGGCTTGTCTCTGATCGTTCTAAAGTTCCATCTCTAGAACTGATTTTTATCCGTTCTGTCTTGCAGGTCTTATCTGTGTTAGTTGTATGTTACTATCAGGAGGCCCCCTTTGGACCCAGTGGATACAGATTACGACTATTCTTTTATGGTGTATGCAATGTTATTTCTATCACCTGTGCTTATACATCATTTTCAATAGTTCCTCCCAGCAATGGGACCACTATGTGGAGAGCCACAACCACAGTCTTCAGTGCCATTTTGGCTTTTTTACTCGTAGATGAGAAAATGGCTTATGTTGACATGGCTACAGTTGTTTGCAGCATTTTAGGTGTTTGTCTTGTCATGATCCCCAACATTGTTGATGAAGACAATTCTTTGTTAAATGCCTGGAAAGAAGCCTTCGGGTATACCATGACTGTGATGGCTGGACTGACCACTGCTCTTTCTATGATAGTGTACAGATCCATCAAGGAGAAGATCAGCATGTGGACTGCACTGTTTACCTTTGGTTGGACTGGGACAGTCTGGGGAGTATCTACCATGTTTGTTCTTCAAGAACCCATCATCCCATTAGATGGAGAAACCTGGAGTTATCTCATTGCTATATGTGTCTGTTCTACTGTAGCCTTCTTAGGAGTTTATTATGCCTTGGACAAATTCCATCCAGCTTTGGTTAGCACAGTACAACATCTGGAGATTGTGGTAGCTATGGTCTTACAGCTTTTAGTGTTGCACATATTTCCTAGTGTCTATGATGTCTTTGGAGGGGTAATCATTATGATTAGTGTTTTTGTCCTTGCTGGCTATAAACTATACTGGATGAATTTAAAAAGGCAGGATTATCAGGAAATACTAGACTCTCCCATTAAATGAATAACTGATTATTATTATCTTGTTAATGTTCAGTTATTAATATGTACACTGCCATTTTAATGTTTATAAATGTCTTTTGTGTTGTATAATTGACAGAGTGTTATATAATATATAATTAATATATACAGATGCAGAAAAATTTATTCTATTCTAATATATTCAAATAAAAATATTAAATATGTGAAATATGTCATGAACCTGGTGTCTTTACTGGTGTGTTTGTAGGTAATTTCGGTAGAAGGAGAATGTTAACTTCCATTACTAAAGAACACAAGACTTGAAGAAATGACCCCTTTCCAATGGAACTTCTGTGGTCTTAAAGTTCAAAAATTAGAAAAATGTTCATGCTTAGTGTTCTACAAATGTTCATCAAAAACTTTCAATAATCAAAAATCTTCATTTGTGGCTGGGCATGGTGGCTCACGCCTGTAATCCTAGCACTCTGGGAAGGCCGAGGCGGGCGGATTGCTCGAGGTCAGGAGTTCGAAACCAGCCTGAGCAAGAGCGAGACCCCGTCTCTACTATAAATAGAAAGAATTTAATTGGCCAAGTAATACATATATAGAAAAAATTAGCCGGGCATGGTGGCACATGCCTGTAGTCCCAGCTACTTGGGAGGCTGAGGCAGTAGGATCGCTTGAGCCCAGGAGTTTGAGGTTGCTGTGAGCTAGGCTGACGCCACGGCACTCACTCTAGCATGGGCAACAAAGTGAGACTCTGTCTCAAAAAAAAAAAAAAATCTTCATTTGTGAAAAGTACACTATCAGGTGAAATGTTGAACATCAAGCAAGCCCTGTTTTGTCATCTAATCACATTAAAAAAACTAAAGGTGATAGGCCTGGATAAGGGATCTTGAGCTGAGGCAAGACACTGCACAAAAGAAAGGAGATTTTTCAATGACAGTGGGTTGTTGTCCAAAGTTAGAACAGGAAATTGGTCTTCTCTTTGCTATGACCATATTAGGAAATACATAGTAGAGGCAGGTAGGGAGAAGACTGTATTCTTGCCAGCCTCACCTAATCCATGCCATTTTGTACTTGATGGTGGGAGATCTAATGTTGGGGCCGGGTCTACTTATTTTCAATTATGCAATTCTCTTCCAAGGCTGCCCTTGTTTATGATTTTGTGGCCAGGTCTGTGAACTATAGCAAAGGTACTTTCTCCTCCTGAAAACGACACTAGCAGTGTCATAGTATAGCAGAAAATTAACATGGTATCCTGAGATTTTTTTCAGAAGGGCCTAAAAGTCTGTAAAAGCATATAAGATGGCATTAATTTGTGTATAATTTGGGCTCTTCTTACCAATTTAGCACAAACAAATGTTGATATGGTACCGACTGTTAAGCTATTTATGATCCCTTAGGTACAAATTCACCCTTCTATATTTTCTTCTGTGATGCTACGGCTCAAACCCAGCAAATTACATTTTTCCTATGCCAGCTGGTGTCTCACTAGGTTCCACCAATAAGGGGCATTAGACGGAGACTAGAAGGCAGAAGGGATTTCCTCCTTTCTGTGTACTTGCAGTTTCTGTCACTTAATTCCAGCAATAAGCAAAAGTTTTTTGCTCCAGCAGCAACAATTGATTTCAGTTTTGAGCTCCTTTTGGCATCCTCCCCAAGCCCAACCAGCCTCATACCTTTCAAAAGTAGCAGGACTAGCTGGAGAGCACCCTTTTAGGGGTCTGAGATATAACTCAGCTAGGTCATTTGTCTGAATTTCTGAGACCTGATAGTACAAACTTGATTCCCCTTTTTCACTAACCCTAGGCAGTTATCCTTGCAGTTATCACCTCTGGGCACTACCTTGGTGTTCCCTTTTTTGCTTTTTCACCCAATACTAAATCCTCTCTGTTGTAGTATCTTGTGATTTCTGTTTTCCTATTATGTCTTCAAACCTTACCCAAAGGAATCCACAGCCTATGCTTTGGGAAAATGGCAACATTTAGATTTTTCAGTGATTATTAGATACTGGCTCTCAATAGAAATTATCCAAATGGAAGCACGGAAAGAAAAAGATTTGAACAACAACAAAAAGAATGGACAGAGACTGAATGACCTGTACTCAGTACTAAGAAGTCTAGCATTAGTGTAACTGTAGTTCCAGAAAAAGAAGAGAGACAGAGAATGGGGCCATAAAAAATATTTGAAGAAATATTGACCCAAAGTCTTTCAAATTTGATAAAAAAAAACAAACAAGAAAACAAAACAAAACAAAAAAAACCCAGTAAGCCACAGATCAGGAAACTAAGTAAACCCTAAGCAGGATAAATACAAAGAAAACCACACCTAGAAACATTACAGTGTAGCTGCTGATAAACAAAGGTAAAGTCTTAAAAGCAGCAAGAGAAAAAGACATAAGGCATATACGAAAATAATGAAAAGAATTATAAACTGGGTTATCAGCAGAAACAATGGAGGCCAGAAAACAAGAGACTGACATCTTTAAAGTGCTGAAAGAAAACCCTTTGATGACTTCTCCTTGCCTATAGGATAAACTCTAAGATCCTTGACTTCTATAACCTGGCTATCGCTTACATTTCTAGCCATCTTCTGCTCCAGCAATATTCTATTGTTGTTTAATGCCTTTTTATTATGCAGGCCCGTCTATGTTGAAAGCCCTTCTCTTCTTTGCCTAGTTAATTGCCTCACTAGCCTGACCACACAACTCTCCTCCCCTGTGGCTTAACGTCTCCTTTGTGCATATCTATTTTTGTATTTACTATATTAGTAACAAGTATCTGTTTAAATCTTATTCTCTGACACTAAGTTGAGCTCCTTTAAGGTAGGGACTGATTTTTGTATCTCCAGTACCTATTGTAGTACCTACCACAGAGTGGACTCAGTTAATTTTTGCTGAATTATTTCCCATAAAAGCATAACAATACTGAACTCAGAAATTAAATTGAGTTTACTAGGGCCCACTAACTTCTATGCCTCACAGATGAATCTGTGATTGGTTACATCTTGCTGGTTCGTAGGTAGGACTTTTTTTGTCTGAAACACTCCTGCCTGACAGTGATGCTAAATTAGATCATTTTCTCTATTTCTAACTATGAGCTATCAATACGTTTCTGGGAAAGGCCTTGAGACATGGAGGGTCATTTTTCCCTTTGTCTTCCCAAATTCTTTCCTTTGGGATTAATAAAGTGAGTCCTCTGCATGTTTTTATCCTAGACAGATTAGTTGCCCATATGTAAAGACACACCTTTAGTTCATATGTCATAAATATTTTTTTACATTTTATTTTTCACTTTGTTTTTTTAGAGACAGGGTCTCACTTAGTTGCCCGGGTTGGAGTCCAGTGGTGTGAGAATAACTTACTGCAACCTCAAACTCCTGGATTCAAGTGGATTCACTTCAGCCTCCCAAGTAGCTAGGACTACAGGTGTGTGCCACCACACCTGACCAATTTTAAAAATCTTTTGTAAAGACAGAGTCTCACTGTGTTGCCCAGGTTGGTCTGGAAGTCCTGGCTTCAAGCTATCCTCCCACCCTGGCCTCCCAAAGTGCTGGGATTATAGGCATGAGCCACCATACCCTGCCCATAGGTCATACATTTTTTTTTTAAGTTCGCAAGTCTAGCAAGAAGGTCATAAATTTTGACCTACATTTTGTCACCTGATTTTGGTTAGTCCCTAGTTCACTCAGCACTAATTAGCAAGGATGATTCCTGTTTTTGGTTTGAGTTCCCTTGAAAGAGAGGAAGCAGCTGCCACATGCAGGAAGTTGGGGAGACAGTGTGTGAAAGGGAGTTCAGGAACAGCTCCTACCCAATAAAAACATGTACTCCATTCCTTCTGGTACAATTTCATACATGACTTTCTGCCTGTCTACCCTCCCCCTCTATGCTTTCCTTTTTCATTTTTCTTCTTTGACTCTATTTCATATATTTTTGGAGGTTTTTTTTTTTCCTTAAGAGTTCCTGGTAAGAATGGATAATGAGGAAGCTTCAAGAAGGAAAATTGAGAGGATAAATCATGTTTACAGAAAACTAAAATCCTTTTATGAAAAAGCAGATTTAAGTCCTCTCTCTTCTTAAATAGGTGACATACAGCAGTCATGAGATCTGGATCAAAATCTTGTGAAGATCGTTGGCCCATTCAAAATACAGATTCCCTTACAAAATAAAATCTAAACTTATTACTTAAGCATATCTTTTCTGGGTTAATTTTTCCCACTTAAGGGAGTGGTATTTGCTATGTGAAGGCTAGGATTGCATTTTACCTGTTGTATTTGTATTCATACCTTCTGCCCCCATCACATGTTAAATATATAACTGGAAATGAGATCGAGTCAGGTTCTGCTAACAGTTTGTTGTGTGATTTTGGAGAAATAGTTTTAACTTCTAGGCAATGGTTTCTTCAAAAATATAATATCTCAATTCATAAACTTTGTAAAATGTATCAACAAATAAGAAAGCCATTGTATTAGCTTGGAATCCCATAACAAAATGCCACAGATTGGGAGCCTTAAACAACAGAAATTTATTTTATCATAGTTCTGGAGGCTGGGAAGTTTAAGATAAGATGCCAGCATGGTCAGTTTTGGGTTATGGCTCTCTTCCTGGCTTACAGATGGCTGTCTTCTTGCTGTGTCCTCACTTGGTAGAGAAACAAAGGTCTCTGGTGCCTCTTTTTATACAGACATGAATCCTATCTGATTAGGGCCCCACCCTTATGAGCTAATGTAACCTTAATTACCGCCTAATAGGCCTATCTCCAAATACATATGGTCCCCAACTTAAGATTTTTTGAATTTATGATGGTGTGAAAACCATATGCAGTCAGTAGAAACTACATATACTTCGAGGGCCAATACAACCATTGTTTTTCACTTTCAGTATTCAATAAACTACATGAGATATTCAACACTTTATTATAAATAGGCTTTGTGTTAGATGATTTTGCCCAACTGCAGGTTAATGTGAGTGTTCCGAACACAGGCAGGCTTGAATAAGCTGATGCTCTGTAGGTTGTGTATTGAATATCTTTTTGACTTACAATCATTTTCAACTTATGATGGATTTATTGAGACATAACCCTATTTTAAGCTGAGGAGCATCTAAACTGTCACATTCGTGGTTATGGCTTCAGCATATGAATTTTGGAGGGGGGCATAATTCAGTCCATAGCAACCATGATATAATATGCAAAGCTATTTAAACCTGTAGAATAAATTCAAAATTCACTTGCATTATTTACTTAGAATACTAATAATGGAATGTAGACAGAGTAGCTAGCTATAGCCCAGTTTCATGGTCTAACTTTTGCTGCCAACTTGAGGCTAAGAAAAGCACAGATAATTTGTGCTCGACCTTGTGATCCTACATATGGCAGGTCAACCACATACGTCCATTAGCACTCAAGTGAATAATTTTGAACTTAAATGCAGAAAACCATGAACTCTTGAAACTTATAATCAGGGATCAAAGGAGAAGGGAAAAGAAAATGTATTAATGACTTGATATTTACTGACCATATATCATATGCTAGGCACTGGGGAAAACTGACCATGGTTCATGATTTAATGGAGTTCACAATGCAGGTAGGGATACGAAGAAACCATTTCAATAGCTCAGATGGAGAAAATACCTGTGTTTCTAACTCAGCAGGCTTCCCTGAAAAGTGACACCTAACCTGAGCCACAAAGATGGTTACGAAGGAAGGAGGCAGGTTATATGGGGGGCAGCAGCCCCAGCATGGGGGTGAACCAACTTCTACTGATGCCTCAGCAGAAGGCCGGGGCTGGGACCCTAAGGATGGGCACACCTCACTCCGAAGGATCTTCTTCAGGACACTCCCGCAGCCGAGACTGGCGGCTGCCCACACACTAGGGCACTCAGAGGGCTCTCAGACTCAGGAGAAAACCGAAAAACTATTTTGGTTTGTTCCTCAAATTAAGCATACGTCTCACATTTTTCTCCCAGTCCCCATTTCCAGGTCTTTTTGTTTTTCTTTGTCGCTCCCCGTCCCTCACCTCAGAACTTTCACCTGGGAAGACCCTCCTCAGGTGCAGAAACCAGGAGGAGACTCCCAAAGCCGTTGGGGCTCAACGCGGGACGCAGTCATTTTTGCGGTGGAGTCTCCCCTGCAGCACTGAGGAGGAAGGCTCAAAGTGACGAGCCGGAGAAGCAGGGGAGTCAAAACCGAAGACAGTCACCAGCAGGCCCAGCGTTTCTCACCCTCTTCTCTCTCCCAGTCCTTCCGCCGCGCAGCCTCAGCTCACTCCACACCCAGCACAGCGCCTGCTTGATCGACATGTGTCCCCGCCCAATCCCGGCGCGGCGCAGACCGCTGTCGCTTGAGGGACCGGGAGGGGGGCGACGGAGCCTATCAGATTGGGCCGGGAGCGGGTTTCCTGCCCGCGCGGATCCGCCGCGCGCCCCGCCCCTCTCCCGAGAGCTACGCGGCGGCGGAGCGAGGCCTCGTGCCGTAACGGCCATCGCTGCGGCCGCGGCGGCGTCCGGGTGCCTTCTTCAGGTGAGCTGGAGCCGCCGGGCTCGGCAGAGGGAAGGTGAGACGGCCTTGCCGGCAGGCGCGCGCACACACGCACACCCACACACACCCACAGAGGCAACGTTTCCGTCCCCAGTCGGTGCACACAGCCCGTTACTCCCCGCGTCGCTTCCTCTTCCCCGGCGAAGTTAGCCCCGGGGGCGCCGTCTGCCGGCTCGGAGCTGAGCTGGAGTGGGCGCGGATGCCGCTCCGCCGGGCCTGGGCGTCTGTACGGCGGCTCCACGCGACCTTCGGGCTGCTGCCTCGGGGAGCGCGACGTCGCGGCCTCCCTGTCCGCGCAGCCCGGGAGCGTCGGGTCACGGGGAGAGCCCCGGCGGCAGCCCCTGGGCTGGGAGGTCGAGTGTGTGGCGCGCGCGCTTCCCTGGCAGTCTTCCTCCTGAGACGGTCCTGTTGCCAGTTGTGGCGTAATCGAGGGTGGGAAGGTAGGGACTGGGCATCGAGGGAAGGGCTGTCCCCGAGAGGAGGGGAGACTGCCCTGTGCAGCCTGTGGACATCTTCGGGACGCGCCCTCTGCCCCTCCCCCCACCCCGCCCCCAGCCGCTTTCCTCGTTCCTGGCTGTTACCTCAGTGGTTTGGACCCGCTTTAGACTCGCACGGGAGTTGCTTGGCTTTGAGATTTTGACTTGAGTTGTAATGCATCCAGTAAAACAATTATCTTGATAGGTTGGCTTTGTAACCTTTCTTATTTGTTCCCATAGAAGTTAAATTCGCTGTTAGAAAGTCGGGGAGCTGGGAAGGGCTGAGAACCGTAACATTAGGCTCTCAATGTCGACCTGATGAACTGAAGTCACCTGAAAATAATTCTACCCATTAGATTTGGTAAGAAGCATTAGAAGTTAGGAAAGAATGAGAATTTTCTAACCCCATCTTGGGTGGGGAGCAGAGAAGCGCAGTGTTTCGGCCAGAACCGGTAAGTGTTGCAAGAGGTATTCGTTTTTAAAATCTTACTTTGATAGATTTATGACAAACCAGTCATAACGATTTCTTCAGCACTTGGAAGTCACTGTGCCTCAAGTCTCAACCTTCGGTGAGATCACAAAGTTAATGGAGAAATAACCCAAGAAGAAAGTTTTGTTTGGTAATTGTCGATGATGTTCCGTTCTTAAATAGGCACCCATTCACACCTTGATAGTGACTTGAAAAACATGCATTAGTTGATTAATGGTACTTTCTTTTCATTTTGACTTGGGGATTACATTTAAAAATGTTTGTCTTATTTCTTTAGGCCTTTTTGTCCATGTTTTCCCCGTGCTTTCCGGTCCATCTAAATAAAAGTTGAAACCTACACGTACTGTTTTGTTAGACATTGAGTGATACTTAGGCCTCTGGGTTTATTTTTCTTTTGGACCTCTGAGAACTTTCCTTCCAAAGCTCAGGGTAGTTTTGATGTGATTGTTGTTATAAATCATTTGTCAGGACGACTTGACTTAATACAGATGCAGTATGTTTTTTAAAACATAGTTTAATAATTTTACAATTTACTTACCTTTATAATAGGGAAAAATACCAAATGTTCTCTATGGACGTCAGAAAATTAAATGATTAGTTGATAAATAAAATTGAAGGGAACTCTTCAAATCACTGAACATTTAACAAGTTCCTCATAAATACTTTGCTGTGCTGTTTGAGGAGGACAACTGACAGGGCCAAATATGACATTTAAAGATTTCAGGTAACAGTTATGTCTGGATGATCCACAGTTTAAACTGTTTCAAAGATAGAACTTACAGTCTTCCATTCAAAACTGATTCCATATGCTAAATTTGTTTTGGTGTCATTACCATGCTTTCAATTACTGAGACACTAAACTTGGTTTTATTTCTATGCATGGCCACTTGTTGCCAGTGATTTTTATCTCTAAGCTACTTGCCAGCCTTTTGCTGAGTTTTCTGCCTGTTTTTTTTTGTCCCTACTTAGTATGTTCTGCTTGTGGCCTAAATCTTAAAATAATGGTTCAAACACTCCTCATCGTTCAAAAACCAGGCATAGCTCTCTGTTACTACAGAGTATAGTTCAGAATTCATAGCCTTCTTTCTAACAGTCTGCTCAAAACCTATTTTTCTGATGCCAATATTATTTCTCTATAGGAGCTGTCCACTCTAACCTAACCAATCTCTTTGTCTATTATACTTTGTCTTTTTCTACCTTTTTATAGTTTCTGTTGAGACTTTGAGTGCATATGCATAGGCTGCCTATTTAAATCAATCTTCCTTCTTTCCTTTTCTTCCTTTCTTTCTTTATTATAACTTTTTGAGACAGGGTCTCTCTCTGTTGCCTCTCTGTTGGGCTAGAGTGCCATGACATCAGCCTAGCTCACAGCAACCTCAAATGCCTGAGCTCAAGTGCTTCTCCTTCCTCAGCCTCCCAGTAGCTGGGACTATAGGCGTACACCACCATGCCTGGCTAATTTTTTCTGTTTTTAGTAGAGATCGAGTCTCAGTCTTGCTAAGGCTGTCTTGAACTTCTGACCTCAAGCTATCCTCCTGCGTCAGTATCCCAGAGTGCTAGGAATATAGGCCTGAGCCACCTTGTCTGGCCTATTTAAATTTTTTTCCCCCTAAATTACCTAGCAAATGGAGTAAAATTTTGTTTGTTTCATTTTTGGTCCTTCATTTCTTTGTGTTGTTTCTTTCCTTTGAACCCATACTTCTTATGGTTTTTGCCATTCCCTTGGTTTGAATCCTATGTAGACTCATCTCAGTTTCATAGAACATCATTGCAGGAATGTTGGAATCCAACCTTCTATTTTATAGATGGGGAAACTGAAATACATACAGAATACCTGCATATTAAAATTCACATATCTAGTGATGGGGGCAGAGCTGAGACTCAACCTTGACCTTTTAACTCAAGTTCTGTGTATTCTTTATGAAACTATATAACTTCTCATTATGTAGGTCATTTTGCATTATTTGCTTTATATTATTTTTCATTTTGTGTGTTTATGCCTTCTCATATAGATTGAAAACTTCTTGAGGGCAGGGGTACCTTGGTGACTTGCATCATAAAGTATTTTAACAATTAAGGTCTATTTGGAGTCTTCCTGTGCTTTTTAGATTTATTATCAGCAGTAACAAAAATAATGTCATTTCTGCATTTGAGTCCTGTGATCCGCTAGAACATGAACTGGATCCCTTACAGGTTTTACAGCTGGAATTTAGTTTGTCTGTTTGAATCTCGATAAAGGGAATGAATTTTTGCTGCCCTTGAACATAGATGAAAAACAGTGTAGTGATTTGGAGGAAATCTCTGGAGGGCTTATCACAGTAACTAATGTAATGATCTAGCAAAATGTTCTCTTTGTTAGAAAAGTAACACTTCACATTTTGTTACTGTTATCTTATTCATGTGTTAAGAATCAGCAGTACATCTGCCTGTTGAGCAAAATATTTGAAAAATCATTTGTTCTGTTTGGTGAGTTAGAGAGCTTTAATATATTCTCCATTTCCCCCACCTCTTAACTCTAAGGTTTCTGTTAATAGAAGTAGCATAGGTTTGCCTTGCTATTTTTCTTACATATTTGTAGTTTTTTTCTTACATTTTAGTTTAATGCTATGAGACAGCATGGAAAACTATCAGGGTGAAATCTTTCTGGAGGGAATGAATGCTTACTCTTTTGGTCTGTTTTTCATCTAGTTTTGGGTTGTTAATAATTGCTTGTTTTTATTTGTTTAAACTATCAGCTGAACGAAACTGTTGAAACACTGATTCTCTTCTTCCTTATTCCTGAAATTGTACTAAGTTTTGCTGAATTGGACGTGAATATAGTATGAATGGTTTTTGCTTTTGTTTAGGTGATCAACTGAATAAACAAAGCAGTGAGAGTATGTGGGAGTTCTGTAGGGAATAGGATGCTTCTCCAAAGGCTTTCTTTTTTTTTTTTTAAGAATCAGTCTTCCAAAATTTTTGGCATATATTTTCAAATCATGTTGCTGTGTAGATCAACTCAAATAATAGATGTAACCAAGAATTTGATATGTCATGAACTTTTTAAGTATTCCAGCTGTACTGCAGAAACATTTTATTAATTTTACAAAGCATTGGAAAATTTTCCTTGGAGATGCTTGATCACTTTTAGGTGCTACATGTTCTTGAATAATATTTTCTATTTTTAGAAACATTTGTAATATGTAGTGTACAACCCCTCTGCATCTGAGTGGGGCCCTGGGAAATCCAGTTACTTTTATTTTTGTTTCTTTTAATTTCTTATCCATGTTCTTAAAAGAGGCCTTATAGGCCTTGTATGATTTGGCTTTTGCCTCTCCTGCTGTTATCCCTTTCTTCTTTGGGCCTTAAATAGTCAACCTCTTTTTTTTTTTTTTTGCCTTAGAGCCTGTGAACATCTTCTTCCTCCTGGGGCAGATGGCTTCTTTAGGTTGATTAGTATTAAGTGTGGCTACTAGTAACAGACACCAGATAACAATTTTTCTGTCACACTGGAGAAGTAGATTCAGAGTTGGCATGGCATTCATTTATTAAATTTATTTCCAGGGGTGTGTGCGTGTGCTCACTGTTATAAATAACTCTGAAATAAAGATCTTTGTGTATAAGGCTTGAACATTTTTTCCTTTTGATTGAGTTCCTGTTGTGGGATTCAATTGAAAATCTCATTAATTTCTTTTTAAAAAACTTGTTTAAAAAAAAGTACCTTTAAATTGTTTTTATTGCAAAGTGCACAAATTTAAATGTATAGCTCAATGGATTTTTGTAAGTGTAGACTTCCATATAGTTGTCACCCAAATCAAGGTATAGAACATTTCTAGTGCTCTAGAAGTCTCTTTTGTGTCCCCTCCCAATCAGTTTTCCCTCCGCTCCCCGAAGTAATCATTATTTTAACCTTTATCACCATAAATTATTTTTGCCTGTTCTTAGACTTGATGTAAATGGAATCATACGCTCTTGTGGATGGCTATTTTTGCTTAACATTGTGTTTGTGAAATTAATCGTGATGTTGGGTGCAACAGTACTTTGATGGTAGTATTCCAATTAAAAAATTTTTTTACCATTGATGTAAATTTTTATATTTGGTTTGTTTCCACTTTTAAGCTATTGTGAATAAAGCTGCTGTGAACATTCATTTGGAAATCTTTTAGTGGATATGGATACTTACTACTTTTGGTTACTTATACCTGGGTGTAAAATTGTGCTGTCCTTAGCAGTTTTTCAACCTGCTTGAACTGCTCCTCTGTAACTGACACATAGTTTTATGGGATTTGTCCACTTACCATAAAACTAGTGACTGCCTTTGTCTTTCTCCTGTGTTAAATCTTTTATTTTCTGTGAAAATTGTGTAGTGTTTTTATTATTATTATTATATTTTTTTGGTTTAACATCTCTATTTGATGGAGTGTATGTAACACAGTAGATTCTTGTGAAAGATTGAGATCTTACATTAATGAAAACCTTTTTTTTTTTTTTTTTTGGTTTTTTTACTTGATTTGGTTGGGTACCTGTTCTAGGTTGAAAATAATTTGCCTTCAGAATTCAAGTAATTTGCTCCGTTGTTTTCTAGCTTGTCATCCTTTTGAGAAGTCTAAAGACATTTGGATTCTTTATTGTAAAAATGTTTTTTGCCTTTGTTGAATTTTGTTGTTCTATATTCTGAAATTTCTTGAGAATGTGACTTGCTGTACATCAATTTTTGTTTTCCTGGATTTTCATTGTACCTTTTAGATCTGCAAAAGTATATTCATTAGTTCTGGGAAATTTTCTCGAATTATTATATTGATGATTTATAACAGTCCTAGTAGTCTAATATAACAAAATACCACAGAGTGGGTTTCTTAAACAACAGAAATCTGTTTTCTCAGTTTTGGAGCCTATAGTTCAAGAATAAGATGCCATCAGGTTAGTTTCTGATGAGTCTTGTCTTCCTGGCTTGTAGACAGCTGTCTTCTTGCTGTGTCTTCA